ATTGGACATTTCGTCTCGATGGACATTTCGACTCGATGGACATTTTGACCCGATTGGACATTTCGACTCGATGGACATTTCGACTCGATGGACATTCTGACCCGATTGGACATTTCGACTCGATGGACATTTCGACTCGATGGACATTCTGACCCGATTGGACATTTCGACTCGATGGACATTTCGACTCGATGGACATTTTGACCCGATTGGACATTTCGACTCGATGGACATTTCGACTCGATGGACATTCTGACCCGATTGGACATTTCGACTCGATGGACATTTCGACTCGATGGACATTTTGACCCGATTGGACATTTCGACTCGATGGACATTTCGACTCGATGGACATTCTGACCCGATTGGACATTTCGACTCGATGGACATTTCGACTCGATGGACATTCTGACCCGATTGGACATTTCGACTCGATGGACATTTCGACTCGATGGACATTCTGACCCGATTGGACATTTCGACTCGATGGACATTTCGACTCGATGGACATTCTGACCCGATTGGACATTTCGACTCGATGGACATTCTGACCCGATTGGACATTTCGACTCGATGGACATTTCGACTCGATGGACATTTTGACTCGATTGGACATTTCGACTCGATGGACATTTCGACTCGATGGACATTCTGACCCGATTGGACATTTCGACTCGATGGACATTTCGACTCGATGGACATTCTGACCCGATTGGACATTTCGACTCGATGGACATTTCGACTCGATGGACATTCTGACCCGATTGGACATTTCGACTCGATGGACATTTCGACTCGATGGACATTCTGACCCGATTGGACATTTCGACTCGATGGACATTTCGACTCGATGGACATTCTGACCCGATTGGACATTTCGACTCGATGGACATTTCGACTCGATGGACATTCTGACCCGATTGGACATTTCGACTCGATGGACATTTCGACTCGATGGACATTTTGACCCGATTGGACATTTCGACTCGATGGACATTTCGACTCGATGGACATTCTGACCCGATTGGACATTTCGACTCGATGGACATTTCGACTCGATGGACATTCTGACCCGATTGGACATTTCGACTCGATGGACATTTCGACTCGATGGACATTCTGACCCGATTGGACATTTCGACTCGATGGACATTTCGACTCGATGGACATTCTGACCCGATTGGACATTTCGACTCGATGGACATTTCGACTCGATGGACATTCTGACCCGATTGGACATTTCGACTCGATGGACATTTCGACTCGATGGACATTTTGACCCGATTGGACATTTCGACTCGATGGACATTTCGACTCGATGGACATTCTGACCCGATTGGACATTTCGACTCGATGGACATTTCGACTCGATGGACATTTTGACCCGATTGGACATTTCGACTCGATGGACATTTCGACTCGATGGACATTCTGACCCGATTGGACATTTCGACTCGATGGACATTTCGACTCGATGGACATTTTGACCCGATTGGACATTTCGACTCGATGGACATTTCGACTCGATGGACATTCTGACCCGATTGGACATTTCGACTCGATGGACATTTCGACTCGATGGACATTTTGACCCGATTGGACATTTCGACTCGATGGACATTTCGACTCGATGGACATTCTGACCCGATTGGACATTTCGACTCGATGGACATTTCGACTCGATGGACATTTTGACCCGATTGGACATTTCGACTCGATGGTCATTTCGACTCGATGGACATTCTGACCCGATTGGACATTTCGACTCGATGGACATTTCGACTCGATGGACATTCTGACCCGATTGGACATTTCGACTCGATGGACATTTCGACTCGATGGACATTCTGACCCGATTGGACATTTCGTCTTGATGGACATTTTGACACGGGTGTCACGTGGCCTATTGGATATTTTGACTCGATGGACATTTCGTCTCGTTGGACATTTTGACTAGAAGCCGTTCAATATCACTAGAGTAACGTGTATTATCACATGGATATTTTTGTCGAATATCTTATTAATGCGAAAGCATTATATGCCCCATTACGCGAAACTCCGGCGGCGTCGCCGGCGTGACAGAGCGATGGTACCAAAAATAGCCGACGGCGCTAAGAGTAAAAAACACGCCAAAAAGGCTCAGATTGACGTCAAATTTCTCATGGAATTTCAGGTAAACAAAACGAACAAAGTAAATTAATGGCTTTGAAAAGAATATTTGGTACAATTCGGTCTGGGTGGGAATCGAACCCGGGCCTCTGGGGTGCTAGACGAGAACGCTTTCCCGACGCCATGCACGGCGGCTCCACGGCACATTGCTGACTGCAGGGTGATTCTTTAAATCGACCGCAAAATTCGGTTTCTGAACCTATCGCGCTACGACATTGTGCAGCGTTGCCCACAGATGGTGCATTTTTTTTTTGTAAAATTTGCAAAGCGCGAACTTACCTGAGGAAAAAGTAAAGAAAGAAAAAGGCTTAGCTCCTATGGAAACGCAGCAAAGTCACCGGTCTGCAAACAACACGGCGCCGTTTCGCACGGGAGACAAGAGATGGCGCAAGCGGTCGCAACGCCAACTGCCGCCGACGAACGAGCATACGACGCCGAAAGCCGGCGTCCTTAGCAGACAGACAACTGCAGTTCTTTGTTGTTACCGCGCCTGTTTTTGTTTCTGCGACTGTCGCCGCCTGCGGAACGCGCGCCGTTTTTGAGTCGAAAAGATCGTCTGCTAAAGACAACGGCTCTCGGCGCCGTATGCTCGTTCGTTGGCGAAAGCCCCTCGATATATTTTCGTTTGTCTTTGCAAGTAGCGCCAAATCCTCGAGCGCACGTGGCCCAGGTCTCGAGCGGCCCTTGGAAGCAAATGGCGGCGCAGCACTGAAATGAGCGGCCCTTGGAAGCGAATGGCGGCGGAGCACCCGATCGTGGCACGTGTCTTACGCAGTTCCACAACAATGGTTGGCGGTACTTGTGAAAAAACTTTTATCAAGGGGCTTTACGTTGGCGGCGTTCGTTGCGCCATCTCTTGTCTCCCGTGCGAAACGGCGCCGTGTTGTTTGAAGACCGGTGGCGTCGCTGCGTTTCCGTAGGAGCTAAGCCTTTTTCTTCCTTTACTTTTTCCTCAGGTAAGCTCGCTCTTTGCAAATTTTACAAAAAAAAAAAAAGCACCATCTGTGGGCAATGCTGCACAAAGTCGTAGCGCGATAGGTTAAGAAACCGAATTTTGCGGTCGATTTAAAGAACCTGGCCTCTCTTTGAATCACCCTGTAGAGGTGGACCTAGTGCGTCGAAAACATTTCACGAAAGAGAATATAATGCTTTCGTATTTCCACACGTAAGCAGTCTTAAGTGTCTCTGCCGAATTTTTCCCTAAGAGTGTGGATGCACCTTTTTTATTATTAGCCCGATTCCAAGGCAGCGACGTGCTTTATGATGCACAGATGCAAACTAGTGACAATCGTACGTAACTCAAACCAATCGCGATTATTCTTTTTTTTTTTTTTTTGTGCGAAAGAATACTTTTGTTATATCTATACTTCGTTTCAGCCTAAGTCCAGACGCAACCGACGCTTGAACTAATGGGATCAATTAGTGCCTCTGGGATCAATCAAACAGCGTCAAAAGCGCAAGTCACTGGATATTTTCTGGTTATGATTGGTTCAGCGATGATAGAACACGAGCAGAAACATGACGAACACCATGGCGTTACCCTAAGCTTTAACGCTGTCTAATTGGCAACTCGTCGGGTTCGGCCGCGTCTGGACTAGCTGAAACGACGTATAGCAGGCTGATTCTTGACAGCTCTTTTTGCGTTGTATCTGCGGCGCTGTGAGTTAAAAGAAATCAAGCTGTATGTGATGCTGAGCCTTACTTTTGAGTTTAAAGAACCGAACGCGTGTATAATGAAGTCGCTGTCAATTTAATTTTTTTGGTACCCCGTAGGCACCAAGAAAAAACGAATGACACGGAATGACACCTGCAGTTCCAACAGGTGCTAAGGATGTAAGAAAGCGTGAAGACACGATTGACGTTGTTTTTTTTTTTGTTCATATTTCTGAGCTGGAAAACTGCACATAAGACTGCATAGGTAATTCTGTAGAATGCCGAAATAATATTCTAACTACAATCAACCAAACCATTCAACCTTACTGTGTGCACGTTTACCCTTAGATATGCTAATAGGATCTTGGTACTAAATTGCAGTGATGCCTAATTCTCTGCACCATTTAATACCAGCATTAAATCAAATATTTTGGAGACCAATATTGGAAATTCCCGCGGCGGGCGGGCGAAAACTGATCACAGCGCCCCTAACGAGCTTGGAGTCTCCGCTAGCAGACGAACTCATCAGAATGCATTGGCTTTGCCTATCCCCGTACGAGGAAGCCAACAAAAATGCACCGCGACAGTTTTTTTTTTTTTTACAGCGGCAGTTTTACAGTTAAGGGCTAGGTTCCCCAGGATCGTGTCCGTGTATGTCGACACACACCTACCTGGACAGCTACCGCCATCTATAAGCGACGGCGGCAAGCACAGAACCGGTATGGTTTCCGCCGTCGCTCGTAGATGGTGCTAACCTTCTCAGCTATAACAGAAGAATGGATAGTTGGGTGCGTTGGTGGGAATTCATCGTAGGAAACAGGCGCAAAAAACAGACGACGACGAAGAAGAAGCAAACAGTGTATCGAGTACAGGTCCGCTGGTCTTCCTTCTTCACGAGAGTGGAAAGGCTGAACGTTTTTTGCTTTCATTTTAATGATTATTTATTTACCATTTAATGAATAAAAAAGTATATTCTTCCAGTGCAAAATCGTTTCTCTTACCCTTTAAGGCGCAGTTTTGTATTTTTAGCGAAGAAAACATTCAAATGTCACAGACTATGTAAGGCAGGCAAAACATGAATCAATTTTTGCACTGTTTTTTTTTCTAAATTAAAACAACAACAAAAAAAAAATAGCTACGGTTCCACTCTAGTGTTCCGATCAATCAATACGTGTCACCTTTGCTGTTGACATCACTGTTTTCAGTAATGTTTTCCTCATTCCTCTCTTGTGGAATAGACTGCTGGCTAATCCTGCTGGCACAATCGCCAACTATAAAAATAAAAGACAGCAGGAAACCTATCCCAATATATTCAATACCACGATGTCAATATGCTGCATGGAGACGATTGTGCATATAAGATCTTAGGTCTTTACCGCAATGAATATACACAAACAGTTAGTTGACAAAAAGAAACGTGACAGAATAAACGCCACTTCTCACACATGCAAAAAAAAAAAGTAACGTTATAGAGTTTAATAATAATTAAACCCGATTGCAATAGTAAAATGCACACATTCAGTCGATGGCTAACTTCAATTGGCGCGATAAATGCCAGCACTTTGAGGGCGGTCTCGCCACTGAATCAGTTTTTTTTTTTTTTTTATTTTACTTTTTTTATTTGTGCTGGTTCAGACGTTGCTTTGCCGCTGCGTCGTTTCTTCCGCGTGTCTTTCTGTTTGTCTATTTTCTACTGTCTTTTTTTTTCTTCGCGGACCCCATGTTTGAACCACCGGGCTGGTACCTTCATGGCAAGTGTAGCGGAGTGGACGTGGACCCGTATGGAAGACTAAAGTCACTTTGGGCCCGAGAACCACACTGCGAAGACCGTTCTTCTTATGCGCCAGGATCAGAATCTCCTTATTCACGTTACACCAGCACGCTCCTATATGTCTCAAGTTTTTAGTGAGTTTTTGTATTGCGTATACAAGTGAACGCAAGCCCTGCGCGTTCGCGTTAGCGTTGCGTGTTCCACATTGCGCGTGCGCGGAGCCCGAACTGCGGCCTTGGATTGGCGCATGGCGACTTCGCGCATGCGCAGCGTGGGGAAAGCAACGCTAACGCAAACGCATAGCGCTTGAAGTTTTCTTGTGTAGGCAATACTAAAACTCACTTTTTCGTATTCTACGCTACTACGTCCCTCCCCCCTCAGGCGAATGTGAAAGCATCAGGTGCTTTGCGTAGTCTAATCGGTTACCAACGAACCGCAGTGGACTCGGACGCCCGAGCTGATTGTTCCAGAGCCGTGTCCGATGCATCTGCATCTGCTTGTTGCGGATCAACTGCGCATAAGTTGTCCACCGGCGTTGGGACGTATACAATATGGTCCAATCTTCTTCGCAGACCCGTTTCTTGATTTGATCTGCGTGTACCCGGTGTGGCTTGTGATCTTCAGCCGCTACTTCAAACATAACTCGTCCTTCTTGGCTGACTATGATACCTTTGATCCAGTGGTTCTTCTTCAACCTATCCTGCATCCATACTTTGACTTATCTGAAATGTCCAGCCGCGACCTCTCTCGTCGTAGTTTCTCTTTTGGCGAGCCCGTCCACAAGAACCTTCGGACGACTGGTCTGACTTGATAAAATCCTTCGTCGTTCAGTGTCACTTGTCTAGCATCTCACATGGGGATTGTCCCGTCGAAGTGTGTGGGGTCACCCCATACTTGAGGAGAAACTGTCTCAGTTCTTCCTTTTCCTCCCCCTTCTTAAATTTCCATAAGGTAGACTGTAATGTCCTCACAAAATGTTCGGCTAACACGTTTGACTGAGGATGGTACGATGGTGTTAAGATGTGCCAAATTCCCTGTTCTTCTAGAAAATGAAGAAGAAAGATTGCCTTGAATGTTTCCACCTTACACTCAGCGCCGGTCGACGGCATCAACGTGACTGCAGGCACTTGCTGTACGCGTCGATCACCACCAAGTACATGGTGTTCTGGTATTCTGCAAAATCGGTATGGATTTGGAAGCCGGGTCGTTTTGGTACTTCCCATTGGTGTAAGGGAACGTTTTCGTTCCTGTACGAGATTGAAGCACACGCTTCGCAGGTGTGACTTTTCGCTTCAGTGTCTTTGTTCATGTTTGGCCACCACGCGTAGGAACCGGCAAACATCTTCATTTGTGATTGTCCAAAGTGGCCTTCATGTATTAAATCCAGAAGACTTTGTCGAAACCTAAAAGGAATTACTGTGTGCATGCCCCAAACTAGGCAGCGATTTGCCACAGTGAAGTCCGACTGTCTTGTTCAAAATTCTCGGTTCAAAATTCAGGGTATTAAGGAGAACGGAAACTTAGAGTTTCAGTGCATACTTTGCTTGTCAGAAAATCACGCATTGCCATCAGCAAGAACAACAAACTCTAATCTACTGAAACACATCAAGATAAGCTGGGACACCTGAATTCCGCATTGGCTGTACATTGTAACGTTAGAACCAAGTTTTTCTTTTCTTGTGATAAACAGGCGAAACACCCGAGTCGAAATGGAGCTTTCGTAGATCGCTTCTTAAGCTCCGAATCTCATAGTGGTGGATGGCGGGTGCGGTTGCAGCTTTCGGTGCCTTGTCAGCTTACAGGTCAGCGGAGTGCACCTACACTATTTCTCTTAAATACGATGTTTTATTTTTTACAAGGACTACCACAGTACGGGCGTATGAGAAACAAAAAGTAGTGTTGCAGAATATTTTTGAAAAATATCAAAATTGTTTCTATTGTTTTCTGGATAAGTGTACGGAAGAAGCAACGTGAAAGTAATTTGTAACGTAACGAGTAAAGTAATCCATTACTTTTCAGCGAAAGTAATTTGTAACGGTAATCCATTACATTTGAGGATCGGTAATTTGTAATTGTAATCCATTACATTTTTCAAGTAACGAGCACAAGTCTGTTCGTGACAAGCCATCTGCGTTTACATACTGAGCTGTTGGAGTACACTTAATGTGCTACAAGTACCCTTGTAGAATCAAGGTCCATCATTGAAGTCTGTTGGTGGCCGTCACAGGGATTCCTTTCACTGGTCCAAAAATCCCCGTCAATGCCTTGTGATCTGTATGAAAAACAAACCATCTTCCCCGCAGATACTGGTGAAATTTATTTACGACGTCGATTATGGCTAGATACATGCGCAATAGATTGAAGTCACCAAGCGAACTGCACATGCGCGCGCATTCCGGAAGTAGTGCCGCCGCCATGCTACTTGTAGTCATCCCTTTCCGGCTTCCCGGCTGCATAGGGCTGCGCGTACATCATCGTAGATACTAGATTATAGTTAGGGACGGCCCGGTATCAGTTTGATTCTATTGCATGTCTGTACTTCATAAGATTGAGCTGTTTGTGATGCCTTAGTTTGTCAGCAAGCGCAGAAAAGTAGTTTCAGTCGTCTTATCACTTTAAAATCGCTTTGTCGTCTGCTTCGTCGTCGTCTGCTTCTTCGCCTTCGTGAACGCGTGAGCCCACTGCCGTTCACTCGGCGGTCCCACTGCGCCGCGGGAAAAAAAACAACAAAAAAACAACGACGCCACTACTTGTGCATTCCGGCTGCTTGGACGTCTCAATTAACTTGGAAACAAGTGAACATCTGGTGCAATGGCAAAAAAACAAGAAAGTTCGAGGGACCATCGGCTCGGTGTAGCACCGCGGAACAGCATCAAATGTGTTGATAAAAAACTGAGTTTGGTAGTGCTCAGTCTTATGCATAACGTTTAATCAACAATGAAGTAAGAGGAGCTAAATAGACTTTCTCGGTGAGCGGTAGTTTTCTAAAAGTTGTCTCATTCTGGTTGACAGCCTGTGCGACAGGGTGCAGATGAACTGCGTGGAGAAACCTGCACACAAAGAAGAAATGATCTACAGAAAAGCCATGCCTGACACGGCATCTGTCAAAAAGGGGCAACCATGCCAGATACCTGAAAGTTTGGGGTGGAAATAATTTTTTGTGTACAGTTTCGATTCAGTTTTATTTTGTTTTCGCAAGATCCGAAGGCTAAAAGTCGTCCGAAGGGGGAGCTTTTTTTCTGCGGTCTTTATTGGTGTTAATGCAGAATGGATCAGTAACGTCAGCCTAATAGACCGCCACAAAATGAATGAGATTCGTTTCTTACATTTTTGGCGGTTGAATGTTGCACTTCTAAATTGCGTTACGTGGTGTTTTCACGTTTGTATGAAAAGAGAGAAAAAAAAATTAAGACTGCTTCCGAAAAAAGTTGTTTTATTTCAAGTGATGCATATCGGAAATCGCTGCTCTTTTGTTTAATGATTGTCCTCATCTTTTCAAGCACAATTGTGCTTGAAACATGCCGTTAAAATAAGTTATAACCACCAAAATACATCGAGCAAAGAGCGTATTAAAAAGGGACTCCGCAAATCAGTGCGGAGGTCCTATTTGAGATAGACCAACGGATAGACCGCTACGGAGCGAATGCTCGGAGGGATTCCAACGTACGGAACACTTGGGCTCGCTCTATATTTCGTGCCCTCTAATCTGACACATTTTAGCAGACGCGCAATATGGTGGATATAAATTATGAAGCAAATCGCGAAACAAATCGCAAAACGCTATTTTTCCTGCCGCTCTGTCCGGCTCTGTTTACCTTTCTTTGCCATGCTGCTTTCTTTCGGGACGACATAATACCCGAGGCCTTTTTGCCTGGTGCTGGTATTATAGCTCCGTGGCATACAACAGTTGAAGCCTCCGATTGAAAACCATAAGTAAACACGCGGTTAAAAGACTCGTGCTAATGCGAAAATTTCCGAACGCCGAACATACAATGCACATTGATGCGGCCGGAAAACTGGGGATAACACAGGTATTAGAATGCACCGCGGCAGCGGTGTCGTCGCGCAACTCCTGCATTGTGAGATCGGTCTATTGGGCGTTCTTCTCCTTTTATATGCCGCGCGCGCGCTTTAATGCCGCGCGCGCAGCTGACCACGTAGGCAGCGCGCGCGGCAATTTTGTGGAAGATTACCGCTCCGACGCCAACTGATGAAGCATCAGCCGCCAAGTAGATTGTCTCGCTTGGATCGAAGTCTCCAAGGACGTTAGGCGCGGTTTTATGCTTTCGAAGGCTTCTACGCAAAGCAAGCTTCATTGCCAAGAAACATACTTCTTGAGTAGATTGCTCAGCGGTGCGCAAAGGTCGCCTAACCCTGGCAAATACTTTGAGTAATACTGAACCATGCCCAAAAATGCCCGTACGTCATGTAGGTTAGGTAGACGGCGCCGGAATGTTCAATATGGCTCCACCTTTCCTTTGAGATGGACGTATTCTTTCC